TAACCACTACGCTACCAGAGCTCCTTAGTAGTCTATAGGAGAAAGCAGTGATAACATCTTTCATTTTTTTTCACCCATTTCAGAAATAAATACATGAATAATAATCAATAATAAGAACATAGGAAATTGCCATGCTGGGTCAGACCCATGGTCCATTCCATTTTCTCTTTCAGAAAGCATCACCAAAGGAAGTGTTGTGGGCTGGCTTAGTTGGTCCTCTGTAATGTCAAGCTCAATAGGTTAGGTAGGGATGTGTGCCGCCAAAAATTATGGTTTCTCTAATAATATCTCCAAGCTTATGAAAACTTTTGAACGCACATACCTATATACCTGATCTTCTTAAGGTTTATTATTCTGTAGGTGGCATAACCACAGTTAAAAGTAATCTCATATCCTCTTTTACGTTTTAAGAGTTAACAGTGCTCTCTTTGTATAATGGATGAAGTGAAAAAAAAAAAAAAATTTTTTTTCCCTCTCCTAGGCAAGAATGCCTTGGTTTTGTAGACTTAAATTATGCCCCTTTTGGGTCTTATATAAAGTTTTTAAGCTCAAAATACCATAGTTACTGACTTTATCCCTTTTAGTAGTTTTATGTCTTCTATAAGAATCAGCAACTAGACTGTACAATTTTTTTCCAGAGGAGGAGGAGGAATGATTTTCTGTAAACGTGGAGATGTTTTTCAGGTTTACTTCCAGAGCCTTCTCGTTCTCTTAATCGTTGCACTTTAAGTGAGTGTGCAGAATATTAAATTAATCCTTTTCAAGAAAAATATTAGTTTTCTAATCCTTTTTAGGTCAAAATCAGTTCAGAATAGATTATCCTAAAAGTTATTTATTCATTTTTTTCTCGAAAGTTACTACCTTTCATTTATTTCCCAGAATGAACTACATTTGCCACTTTTCCTCTGACATATAAGGTTCATGGAAAAATGGAATTAAAAGATAATGGAATTTTTCCATAAACTTTTGACGCCCTCCCTCCCATACAACCTTTAAAAAATCCTACTGTAGGTTCTTCCTACTTCCCCAAGAAAAACTGGGAGCCATATACAAATCAGAGATCCACTGTAAAATACGTGGTCTTCCAAATAATTTAAAAATAAAAACTTTAAAAAATAGAAACATTAACTTTGCAAAACTGAATGCTGCCTCAACCTTTTAGATGGTCAGCCTGACAGTTCTCTTTCCCTAAAAATTCTGAATGCAAAAATCAATTTTTATCATTCTTTCATGGTATCATTGCTGTATTAAACATTTACAATACTTTATATATATAATCAACTCTAGTTTTCTTTGCTTGGCTTTCAACATCCATTGTTCAGTCTCACCATGCCAAATTTACTTCCCCAAATTCCTTATGTATCTTGTGTTTCCATTAGTATTCCCTTCTGAAGTCTCTTTGGCATTCAGCATGCTCATTTCTGTATACTTAATATATATTACCCAATTTGTTATATTGTTTTTCTTTGGTTTTATTAGCTTTATTCCATAGGTTCTAGTGGAAACTCCTTGAGGTCAGGTACCATATGTATACGTATCTCAGTAACCCAGGAGATCCTGTCCTCATTGCATGGACTCTCTTGGACAGAGTTTTCAAGGCTGTAATCTCCATACAATAAGCACTGGACTGTGAACTACAAGGTCTATGGTTCAAGCCCACCAGTCACACTTTTGGAGAAAGATGTGACTTTCTGATAACCTTGAAGATTTTAAGTCTCGGAAACCCTATACAGGGCCTTTATGAGTCGGAACAGACTCGACGGCACTTAACAACAACAACCTCTATGGAGATAGACTGCCATTGTTTCTCCTGGGGAGTGACTGGTGGGTTTGAACTACTTGACCTTTTGGTTCATAACCAAGCACTTAACCACTGTGTTACCAAGGCTCCTTTATACTAGTTCAGGGGTTAGTGAAAACTGTAAGGTACCTGTTGAAATTACCTAATCTTGGCTGTGATTGCAGGAAACAGTAACTTATCAAAAGGGTGTGACTGTGTTCCAGTAAAACATATGTATTAAAACAATGGCCAGCCCATGTGCCTCTAACTTGCTGCTTATTTTTTTGACTTAATTCTTTTTATAGTTTACAAAACACATGCATACCCATATTTAATGAAACAACTCTGTAGCTCTATAGGAGTGGTATGTTTGTTGTTGTTTTTGTTAGGTGCCATTGTGTTGGTACCAATTCATAGAGACCCTATGCACAAGAGAACAAAACACTGACCATTGCTGGGCCAACCTCACAATCATTGCTATGCCTGAGCTCAGTGCTGCTACAACTGTTCGATCCATCTCACTGGGGGTCTTCCTCTATCCTTCTCCAGTGACTGGTCCTTCCTGATAATATATCCTGGAGCACTCTGGCTGTATGTAGTTGTTGTTAAGTGCCGTGGAGTCAGTTCTGACTCATAGCGACCCTGTACAGGGTTTCCAAGGCTATAAATCTTAACGGGAGCAGAAAGCCTCATCTTTCTCCCGCGGAACGGCTGGTAGTTTTGAACTGCTGACCCTGAGGATAGCAGTCCGATTCATAACCACTATGCTTATAGGAAAGACACTAAACCTCACAGAAACAAGGATTAAACCCAGAACTTTGAACCCCAGCCCAGTGGTATTTACCACAACTGTCTTCATATACCATAGTCCATGAATGACTTAGGGAAGAGATGAGTTCACTTAACAATTCCTGAGATGCTTGCTGACAGGATAAAGCCAGAAGATAAGTTCAGGGACTTATTAGAGAGTTGATTATATCTCAGAGTGTGACAGAAAGGAAATATTGAAGGTATCCAGGTTCAGGGAAGTGATTCATCCATTTCCACTAGATCCAAATTTGTCTTAGATATTGTTTTCAATTAGTCTATATAATTCCAGTTTGTGTCTGTTCAGAAATCCTTGTTGTACTCTGATGACAACGCCTGTTTCTTCACAGATCCTCCAGTTTTAGTTGGACCACTCTGATTACTTGCCATTTAAAACTTTATAGAGTTTTCTGAAATTTGCTAGCCTTCAGGCATTTTTTTTTCCTTCTATGACATGTAACCAAAAGAAGTTTTCCATTTAAGTGTTCACATCTTGGTGTATAGATGTGAAATGTAAGTGAAAACTAGGATGTACTTGTTAATGCTGTTGATATTGTAGTTATGTACCGTGGAGTCGGTTCCTACTCAGAGAACCCTGCGTAGAGTTTCCGAGGGTGTAAATCTTTATGGGAGCAAATAGCCTCATCTTTTCTTCTGTGGAACAGCTGGTAGTTTCAAACTGCTGACCGTGAGATTAGCAGCCTGATTCATAACCACTATGCTACCAGAGCTCCTTGTACTTGTTAATAAAGTGTTTAAAATTTAACCTCAACTAATTTTCAGCTTTTTTGGTATGTAAAATAATTGCTTTATTGTTTTACTCAATTTTAAGGGATTACATGGATCGTCTTTTAGATGAAAGTGAAAGTGCTGCTTCTAGTCGAGCACCATCCCCTCCTCCAACTGCCTCAAACAGTAGTAACAGCCAGTCTGAGAAAGAAGATGGCACTATAAGCAGTAGTAACCAAAATGGTAAGCAACCAACGAAGCACTTCTATTTCTTCTTACACAGGAAGGGCACTTTTCGTATAGTAGCCTGCAGGATTGAGTTCCGGTTTTCTTTTAAATTCTAAAGAAGAAGTTGAAATAATGATTGTAAATACTAGATGAAACATACATACAGATGAATGGGCTTCAAAAAACTTTCACAAACTTTTTGAAAGCTCCGGTGTATATATAGTCTAATCAGCTTCTCATTGATATCACTAGTGGTCAACAGTGATCATTTTCTTTTAAGAAATTTGTTCTTTTTAAGTAGCTTATGTTATTTTCTAACTTAAATGGGATGCCTGAGTATAAGTATTCCTGTTAACTCTTAGGCTAAAACTCCAGCTATTTCACATAAAAAATACAAAGATATCCATGCAGTATCTTGAGAGATTATAATTCTTTATTAGGAAAGTGCTTTAAGCATATAGATGAAGTAAGTGATGGGAATAGTCTTGAATAATTTCTCATTGGATAGCATAATAACCCTGTTGTTGCTGCGTGCCGTGGAGTTGGTTCTGACTCATAGTGACCCTGTTGTACAGGGTTTCCGAGGCTGTAAATCTTTAGTAGAGCAGAAAGCCTTCTCTTTCTCCCACGGAACAGCTGGTAGTTTCGAACTGCTGACCCTGAGGTTAATAGACTGATTCATAACCACTGTGCTACCAAAGCTCCTTATAATAACCCTGGAGGATGAAAAAATAATAGACAAAGTATCAGTCCATAAATGTTCTTCAGAAAGATATATTGCTGAGTTTTCTCCATGAAAAAGGCATGCTGATGTATTTAAAGTTCAGACAGTGTTCTCACTGAATATATATATATATATGAAGAGGCTTCAAAAAGGTTTCAGAAATGGTATTTTAAAAATTATGGAATTGTTCCATGATCCTTTTGAAGTCCCCTCACATAGCAAGCAGTCCAGCTGTCACTTTGCTGTGCAGTAAGCCTAAGCAGATCGTTGTTTTAATTTCTCTTTTGATTAAAATGATCTTCCAAAGTAAGATACTTGCCAAGCAGAAAAGAATACGCTCTCCTACTCCTCTTCAGGATGAACCTGGTGAATTAGTCCTGCCCACCTTCATTCTACGTGTCCTCCCCCTGACAAAAACTGGATATAAAAGACCCGGCCTCAAACAGGCACTCTATGTTCATTTGATGAACTACTTCTCCTGTAAGAACAAGTTCAACAAAAGTTTGGACCCAGCAGTGGTCCGAGAAGGTTCACTGATACATCTGCAGCCAGTCCCATCAGTATGAAGTAGAATATCTATGTGCTGAGACTCTGACTTTTGGGTCAACGGTTGGTGATACTTAGGGAGACAGATGTTGTTATTGTTATTGTTAAGTTCTGTCGAATCAGTTCCGACCCATAGCAACCCTATATAGGATTTTCAAGGAGCGGCTGGCTGGTGAGCTTTGAACCGCCGACCTTGAAGTTCAAAAGACTTTGCAGACTGACGCTTTAACCCACAGCACCACACCAGGACTTTAATTACCAAGCAAGTACTAAATTTCATTTGCCTCAAAAGCAGAGCATGTAACATGAAATGAGATTTATGGTAAAAATCTACAGAGAAGTCATGAAGGTGACGATTGAGCTCCCACTTGATAGGGAGACAGATAGTTGGTATTATTTTTTTCTCTTGTTTGTTTACACTGCCCTTTATTTTAAAAACCCCTTCTTGATACATGATGGTAAGCTAGATTTTCAAGTTTTTCAAGGAAAGGAAAGAACTTTCCAAGTCAATTTCATTTATTTTTTATGGAGCTTCATTTGTGCCTTGATATCTTATGTTTTTTCCTGACATAATCGCAAGTATGGCCTATTATTTCAGAATTGTTCTTTGTGTCTCAGATTGTAAGCGCATTCATCAGTTGAGTGCATTTTTGATTAGGAAAAAGATTTTCTTTATACAGAGTGTATTTTAATTATCTCCAGTAGTTCATTCTGTATTTTACATTTTTTTGTGTGTTCCTTCAAGTCCATTTTGGCTCATAGTGACTATATGATCAAGTTGAGTTGCCCCGTGTGGTTTTCTTGACTATAATCTTTATGGGAGCAGATCATTAGGTCCTTTCTCCCTTGGAGCCATTGGAGATGGGTTTTAACTTCCAGACCTTTTGATTAGCAGCCAAGCTGTTAACCATTGCCCGCCAGGCTCTTTAAATTTGTATTCCATTTCATTTTGTAGTCAACTTTAACATGACCTTTTTGTTGTTTCATACTTTTACTAGAATAAGTATATCCTTACTATTCTCACCTGCTGTATTATTTTCTTTTTAGCATTTTCAAGTGTGTGATTGGACACTATAAACTAATTTTTTAAAATATGAGAGATTATTTAATTGCACTTAGATAAATGGAACGTTTGGTCTTTGCTCTAAAAGGCATGTTGTTTGTGCCGTCGAGTTGAATCTGACTCATAACGACCCTATAAAGGGTTTCCGAGGAGTCACTGTTTTGAGTTCGAACTGTTTTAAGTTTGAACTGCCAACCTGCAGTTAGCCATGTTCAGTGCTATCAAGTTACGACGCATAGTGACCCTGTATAGGGTTTCTGAGGATCAGTTAGCCATAGATGTACATTTAAAAAAAAAAAAAAAAAGTCATGGGGTCTAGATTTTATACAACAGTAGAAAACACAAGCTTATATAAGAAAATATTCTGGTTTTAAATGGTTTTAGAAAGTTACAACCCTTTGGCTAAATTCTAAGTAATTTATGTATATTTTTGTTTAATTCACCTTATATAGGCTGTTGAATCCAATGTTTGTAGCTAACATGAATTGCATGTTTAATATATTCCTAATTATTTTCTTAATTCTGTATTTCTGCTACCTTATTTAAGCTTCACAACAAATAACGCAATCTGTTATTTTCCTCACATGTGATTAACCGAATGTGCAGAGTGTAAATAACTGCCTGAGTTCACACAGCCAGAATTCAAACTATATTTATACATTGATTTGATATTTCATTTACTTGATGAAAAACAGTAGTTTATAAACTTTTTTGTGTGTTTTCCAACTTAGGGGTATCATCTAATGGACCAAGTGAAATATTAAACAAAGAAGACACGAAAGTTGAAGGATTGCACATTAATGGACCAATCAGTGGAAATAAGAAACCACTTCATGCAGAGATGGATACGAATGGCTATGAAACAGATAACCTTACCACTGACCCAAAACTTGCCCATCTCACTGCAAGAAATGAAAATGATCTTGAGGAGAAAAGCGAGAGACCTGCTAAAAGGCGAAGGGTAAACAGCAATGGAAAAGAAAGCCCAGGTTCTTCTGAGTTTTTCCAAGAACCAATATCACATGGAAAATTTGAGGAACTTGAAAACTTAGATGACTAAATTTTAGACCTATTTTACCTTTTTTGGAGTAAATCCTGGTGTGACTCAAATTTTCAGGCTTGATGGGTTACCTTAAAAGTTAATTTTCTTAAAGCAGTTGTTTAAAATTTAAGACTTTGAATTAAGCCTAACTTTAGGAAATACGGTTTCATAATTCTGTATTTTGCAGATTTTTTACATTTAAAATGTCAAAGACCCTTTACAGATATAAAACATACTTAAGTAAATTTGAGTGGACTAAAAACATATGTGTACCTTTGCACTTGATGTGTAGTATGCCATTTTATAAAATTTTACTGCAAGGTACTTTTGCTTAGTTTGGTGACAAAAACACAAAAAGGTCAAATTTCTGCTTGACAGCAAATATTTTGAGTTTCATGAAATGTCTTACCTTCATAAAAGATAGTTTTCCCTCACCATACAAATTCGTGTCATCATTAAGGAAACCCTTATGAATCCTGAAAGTTATGCTAGCATGATTTTTTATATATAGAAGTTTAAAAATAAACCAAGTCAGGTTTGTATATGTAAAATTGTTGACATCAATGATGTCTTTCCATATTCCTATCTGGGCTTAAGAAATACATTCTGTATTTTTCCAGATTCTTTGTAGCCTTTGAAAGATTTTTACAGTACATATGTCTTGACTGAGCTGTCCTTTCTTAATACAAAAGCTTGTATAATTTTCTTAACTGTACAGGTGGCCAACTTTTATGAGAGGAATTGATATTCTAAGTCTGTCAGCTTTCATTTTATTTTGCTAAGGTTTTTCTAATGAATTTTTAAGTGTTTGTGTAGTAATTAAGTCACGTTTCTTATCCAGGTGGTAAAAGCATTCATAAGAATTGTGAAAATTTGTTTTTTCAAATTTCTACTTAAGGGAAAAAATAGTTTGAGCATTCTGAAATTAAGCATGATGCTTATATTAGTTTGTTTTGCATTTGCTATGATTTTCAAAGTTATTTTTCAAAGCAAAACAAAAGTTTGCCAGTTTAAATGTTTGAATGTATCATGCTGACCAGAGTTCTGTTCATTTATTTTTATACACATTCTGAAATTTCCCACTTTTGCATATTAAACAGGGAAAAGGTCAAGCAAGTGATACTTAGATATTGGCACACACAAGGAATTACTTTTAGCAGGCAACAATTGTAACTTTATGTGGAGAAAGTAATGAAGTTAGAAAAGTTTTCAAACTTTTCCAGTTACAATCCTGTTAAACAGAATTGATGACATTTTCCAAATAGAAGATCTGAAGTTCTTTTTAAATAATTATGTTACACAGCAACCTTTGCTCTGTGATTACAAATAGGATTATCCATTAGTGTAACCTTGCAAGAGTGCCATTTTATTTTTAGTGCAAAATTCTTGTTTAAAAAAAATATGTAGTTTTATACAGCTAATAGACCAACCTATGTCCAAACTTTTATAAAAGATTATTAACTATTGTTGTTTTTATCACACAGGCATACACCAAATGCTTCTATCCATTTTCAGCCATCAGTTCAAGAATCAATGCCTTTTTAAAAAATAAATCTGTGGTTTGTTTTTAATGGTGGCTCAACTGTCTATAATACAATTGAGTAGAGGCTTGCACTGAGAAATTATGGTTTAGGCCTTATTCCTATGAAGTATTACTACTCACATATGTTCACACTGCTTCCCTTCACCAATGCGAACAACTTTTTTTCCCCAAACAGTGTTAAAAGCCATTTACAACAATTGGCTTTATATAATATATATTTACTTTCCAACTAAATCAAAGTTTTGGGTGGAAGTGTTGAGAAGCCCAGGTTTTTTTGTTGTTTTTGTTATGTTTTACCTAAAATATTAATTTATCCAGAATGGCAGCAGTAGTTTTATCAGATGGTCACAATTCATTTTCTAAATCAAATTTTATTAAAATCCAAAGTACCCTAGCTTTTTATCAAAGATCGTCTGTAGAAATGTTTCAAAAGAATGGTGGTGCTGTGCTTTTTAGATTGTTGCAATATTAGAGATGCCATTTTCACCTCTTTTATAAGATGCATTTTGTTTGCTGGTTTGTGACGTTCTTGCAAACTATATTACAGGAATATTTCAACTGCATTCTCAGGCACATTTGCAAAGATGGCACATGAATACATGTTTGGAAGTTTTATCTTTTTAAGGTGTGCCTGATGAAGGACATGTCACTGTTTCACCACATAATAAAGGCTCAGCTTTTCATAAAGTAATATTCAGTTGTATTTTGTATTTAGACAGGTACAGTACGTTCTTTATAATGCAGCCACTAGAACTTGATAAGTCATTCATTGCACTACTTTAAAATTTTAGTAATATCATGAGTTTAGTTTGCTTAAGATTTAGTACATGTCGTAACTCACAAACTCATTTTCAATTGCATTGGGAAAAGAAGCCTTTATTAGGTACTTGGTCTCATTTTCCCCACCCCTGTCCCCAGCAAAGCACTATCATTTTCATTTGGAATGGTTTCATGATGTATTTTCAATTAGAGTTCAGAATTGCAACTCAGTTCAACATAAATGTTGAGCTTTAAAATATATTTGAAGTAATATTTAAATAAGAATTGAAAACTATGAATTAGGTATTTTTAAATTTATGCATAGTAATTTGCACTGTAAAATAATTCCCTTCTCCTATTCCCTTTATGCCATTCTGAATATGCTTATTAAAATATTTTTTTAAAACATATTTGTCTATATAATGCTGTGTGAATGATTTTCATTCGATTTATTTAGTAGATTTTAATTATAAATTAAGTTTGTATGAAATTGTTTATAAAGCAAATATATAAAACCTGTTGCTTTTAAAACTCATAAAGATATTGCATGAAGTTTCTTTTCATTAGTTCCTGGTCTTTTATCTATCTTGGGCGATAGATAGATTTTTAGTCTTTTTTTTTTTTTTTCACCACACTCCTCCCCAACCCTGGTAGATCCTTTAGTCTTTTAGTCTATGGACCTCTATTTAGCTTTTCTCTTCCTCTGGACAATATATTAAAAATAAATGGCTTCTATTGCAATGCAGTTCATATCACAGTATTTTGCAGGAAACACGTTTTGTCACATAGATGGTTTTGTTTGCTGTCAGTGTAAAATTTGGAGTGGGCACAGCAAGAAATGTGGAGTCGGTTCCAACTCATAGCAAGCCTGGATAGGGTTTCCGAGGCTGTAAATCTTTACAGGAGCAGAGAAGCCTCTTCTTTCTCCCGTAGACCTGCTGACCTTGAGATTAGCAGCCCAACTTGTAACCACTATGCTACCAGAGCTTCTTACAAGTAACTGAGAGTTGGTCAGTTTCCATAGATGTATGTTGGTGTCCCTAAGGGTATTAAATATTTAAGTTATGTATCACTTATTAAATACCATCGAGTTGGTTCCAACTCATAGCAACCCTGTAGAGGGTTTCCAAGGAGCAGCTTGGTGAGCTTGAACTGCCAATCTTGCAGTTCAAACGGCCCTTGAAATCCAGTGCATTGACCCACAGTGCCACACCAAGACTCTTATTCTATAGCACGACTGAATAAATAGTTTTTGTGGCACTACATGTTAAACACGTTGGACTGAAAAGTTGGTTTGAACTGTATCGTCAGCAGTTCAAGCTCACCAGCCACTCCTCAGAAATCGTATACAGGGTCATTATGGATCGGAACCGATTTGATGGCACTTAACAACAAATATTAAATATATATATTTGTGAAAAGCGCCATTGTGGAACATCTTAATGTTAGGGAGAGGCCAGAGACTTCCATTTTAACCTTTTATTCTGTCCCTAAAAGTGATTTTCTTTTACATTACATGTGAAAACTGTAACAGGGTGTTGAACCTGGTTCATTTTCATTTGACCCCCATTGAGAATTTGCAGTTCCACTCCAGGTATACTGTATCAGAATCTATATTTTATTTAACAAGACCCACCACCACTACCCATGATTCTTGGAGATCTATAGGAGTCTTGTTAAAATGTACATTCTTTTTTCAGCTGAAAGTTGAACTGGTTTAAAGCTCTGGGTTCTACCATTTGTTTTTAACCATAGAATCAGCTTTGCTCTTAATAATCCGGTTCATCCATTGCAAAGTCTCAATCCAAGTTGGACTGATTTAATTGATTAGAGGAAAAAGATTTGGAACAAACATGCTGTGTTGTGTGTGGTTTGTTACATTGCTATCTGCACATAGTAATTCACATCTAATTTGATTTAAAAAAAATAGTTGTTTTCTTCCACACCTATGTTTGTCAAAGTCCATACCCACTACACTCAGACCTGATGAAGATTTGAATTTAAGTTGGCCTGGTGTAGAGCTATACGATAAGCACTGGATCGCAAAGTCCGATAAGCACTGGATCGCAAAGTCCGTTTGAACCACAAGGTCGGCAAACTCACCAGCCGCTCCTTGGAAAACCTATACAGGGGTTGCTATTAGTCGGAACTGACTTGACAATACTTAACAACAGAGTCCACACACAAACATTATTCTCTACTGCTTGTTCACAGCAGCTAGGCCATGAAGTAAATGTGGTCAGTAGAAACTTTCTCTCTCTCATCCTGACTTTAAAGGATTATTTTGAGGAATAATATGTGCCTATATGATGTATGTCATCCAGTTGATTCTCACTCCCAGTGGCCCTAATGTTTAGGATGCTAAGAAAAAACGCCTAGAATGTGATATATGGTCAGTAAAATTTTACTGTGGTATATATACTAGGTACTATTTCATTGCAACACTTCAGGTATATCCTTTTGGGAAAACAGCTGGAAACTTAACGATCTTAATGTTCACACTCTTGTCTTCAAGATAGTAAGTGCCGTCGAGTCGGTTCTGACTCATAGTGAGCGACCCTGTATAGGTTTTTCAAGGAGCAGCTGATGGGTTTGAACAGCCAATTTTGTGGTTCCTAGACCAGTGATGATCCTACAGTACCACATGTTAAGTGCCGTCTAGTCAATTCCGATCCATAGCTACCCTGTATAGGGTTTCTGAGGAGCAGCCGGTGAG